CTTAAGGGTTGGATTTCTTACCTACAAGTCTCAACTCCTTGAATTCTTGAGTGATTCCTCTCAAATTCTCAAGCTAGAATCCAAGCTAATTCCTCTCAATTCCCCTTCTTCTAGTTGTTGAACTTGAATCTCATCTCTTTCACTCTCTCTCCAAATTTGGTCTTCAAAATGGACGAAGATAATGAAGTATAGAGTGTTCTAGGGGTCTTAGTAGCCTTATATAGGCTGACTAATTAATCCTTGATCAGGTTTAATTAAGTACAATTAATTTATCCTAATTATTTGGGTTCTGAATCGAATTTCACTTGAACCTACCATAATTTTCTAAAAATTTCAAATAACACATAAATCAAGTCAATTTCGTGATCAGATGTTGATAAGGCCTTCAATTTGCATAATGAAACAGAAATGCAGACAGATCTTCCTAAGCCAAATAGATATAAACACATATAACACAATATACATGCAATTAATGTAGAATTTTCTCTTAATCACTCATTAAGCATTCTTAATCATGGTTTAACAGTTAATCACAGGTTGGGATTGTTACAGGATCTTTATCATCCTCTCCGCCATCGATAAGATCCAAGATGGCCTTGCTTGGGAGCTTATGTGGCTCATCTTCTAGAAGCTTCGCGATGGCCTTGCCTAGTTTAGATCGAACAGAAAGTAAAGAGGAGAGAGAGAGTAAGTGAGAGAGAGAAGGAGATCGGAGAAAGGGTGGTGGTGAGATCAATACAAATAGACGAAAAGAACAATGACAACGAGATCAACACAAATCGGTTGTCTCTTTTTCCAAATCTGGAGGGAATGATGACCAAGTTGGTAGGACCGGCAGTATTGGAGTGCCAGACGACGACGCCGAAGGAATAAACTAAGTGGAGGTTGCCGTTGGTGAAGAATTGAAAGGAGACAGAGCCATCGACGATGAAACCTAGAGAGAAGGTGTTGTTTAGGGATGGCTTGGACTAGCAAAGACAAAGAGAACAGACGAGGGGGAGAGAGAGAGGGAGATGCGAATTTGATGGATAAAACAATAGGTGTGGTTTTAAATATATGGAGGGTAGTTTAGTTATTGTGCAAAAGTATGTCATTATGAATGTAATAATTTTGCATTTAAACCTTTGGACAAAAAGAATTTGAATTTAGACTTTTAGACCGAGCGTCCTATTATATATATGTATATATGTTTTTTTAAATGAAAGTATTTGTGTTAAAAATATGTAATGTAGTTTGGTTGGAGTTTTAGAGGGGATTGGGTTATTTTCTTTTTCTTTTAATTAACTTTGTTCACTTTTGATAATATTAGTTTTTCACTTTTTTGCAAATGGTTATCGGAAAAAAAAAATTTAAAACTGTTTTTAAAATATAAATTGCCTTTATAGTTTTGAAAATTATAAATATTTCATTATTAGAATTTCTCGTATAGCAGAGTTGACTAGAAAAATAAAATTTCTAACTCCTCTTACACAACAATGAATGGTTAATTGAAATATATTGTTAATATCACTAAAAAACTACATGGCACAATATGTATTTTAAGTAAACTCAGAAGGTATATTTGTAATTTATCCTTTTTATTTTGAATAAATTACAAATATATCTCTTAAAATTTACTTAAAATATAAATTGCTTATTATAATTTTAGAACTACATTACGCCCCCTTTAAGTTACTAATTGCATAACAAATTACCATTTTATTAATAAATCATTAATTTAATTAAAATTTTTAATAATATCATAAATATATTTTAATTAACAATTCAAATAATTTTATTGTTATATAAGAGAGTAATTAAAATTTTTATTTTTTTTAGTAATTAACTTTGCTAAATAAAAAATTCAGACAACAAAATATTTGTGAATTTTAAAAGTGAGCTTTTTTGATAAATCTACTTTCTAAGAGTTTTATTTCATCCAACCCATATTCTTTTTGACTATTCCATTAAGTCCTATTTGAGATAAGAAGACCAAAATACCATTTTCATCTACTTATGTTCCATTTAATTCACATTATTTTCTTATATTTCAATAAGTCCTATGGGTAACATAATTACCAAAATAGCCCTAATGTGAATGTTCACACCGTCAATGTGAATGTTCATATCGTCAATGTGTAGGGGTCCGGCCCATGTCGATCCTCATGGGTGCCCGAAAAAAATCGAGTCGAGTCGGGGCGGGCCCGGCCCGTTGACAATGTGAATATTCACATTGACATGTTAACATTCACATTAATAGGAGTGTAAAATTGGTCCGCGTCTCGTGGCGGTGCGAAACCCGCTCGCGGTGCATGGGCGGCCTGAGGCGGGCCCGGCCCGACCCATTGACAATGTGAATATTCATATTGATATGTTAACATTCACATTGATAAAAGTACAAAATTGGCACGCGGTCCATGGGCGGCCAAAAGCCCGCCTGCGACCCGGGGCGGGCCCGGCCCGGCCCGTTGACAATGTGAATATTCACATTAACATGTTAACATTCACATTAATAAGAGTATAAAATTAGTCCGCGCCTCGTGGCTGCCCGAAACCCGCCCACGGCTCGTGGGCGGCCCGGCCCGGCCTGTTGACAATGTGAATATTTACATTGACATGTTAACATTCACATTGATAAAAGTATAAAATTGGCCAGCGGCCTAGGATGGGTCCGACCCGGCCCGTTGACAATGTGAATATTCACATTGACATGTTAACATTCACCTTGATAAAAGTGTAAAATTGGCCCGCAGCCCATGGACGGCCCGAAGCCCGACCGCAGCCCGAGGCGGGCTTGGCCCGACCCGTGACAATGTGAATATTCACATTGACATGTTAACATTAACATTGATAGGAGTGTAAAATTTGCCCGAAGCTTGCCTGCGGCCCGGGGTAAGCCCGGCCCGGCTTGTTGACAATGTGAATATTCACATTAACATGTTAACATGCACATTGATAGGAATGTAGAATTGGCCCGCGGCCCGTGGGCTGCCCGAAGCCCGTCCATGGCCCAGGGCAGGCTCGTTTGGGTCCGGGCCCGAGCATGTCTGAGACCCTAGGCTAGGGGCTAGGCCATCACTTTGAAGCCTGGCCCGGCCCATCAACCCGCTTAAGACCCATTCAAGGCTCGGTCCGAGGCCCAACTCGCCCGAGGCGCAATGTCTTTTTTTGTGGAAAATAATAAAATTTTGGTGGAAAAAATTAAAAAGAATTAAAAAAAAATGGCCAGGCCCGCCCAAGCCTGACCTAAGCTCGAGGCTAGACCCAGGCCCACCGGCTCGACCCGAGGCTCGATCTATCGGCCTGTCTAAAGCCCGAATACCCTGTGCCAGGGCTAAGGCTTGGGCCTAATTTTTTAGCTTGTGGACAGGGCCGGGCCGGCCCAGATTTTTTCGGACACCCACGAGGCTCGATATAGGCCGGCCTGGGCCTCTACGCATTGATGATATGAACATTCACATTAACGATGTGAACATTCACATTATGGGTATTTTGGTAATTATGTCTCCCATAGGACTTATTGAAACATACCAAAATAATCTGGACTAAATAGAATATAAGTAGATGAAAATGGTATTTTGGTCTTCTTATCTCAAATAGGACTTAATGGAATAGTCAAAAAGAACGTAGGCTGCTCGAAACCCGCCCGTGGCTCTGGAAAGGCTCATTTGGGCTCGGGCTCGAGCCTAGTCTGAGACCCTAGGCTAGGGCCTAGGCCATCACTTTGAAGCCCGGCCCGGCCCATCGGCCTGGTTAAGGCCCATTCAAGGCTCGGTCCGAGGCCCGGCCCGCGCCGAGGCCTAGTGTCTTTTTTTGTAGAAAATAACAAAATTTTGGTAGAAAAAATTAAAAAGAATTAAAAAGAAATAGCCAAGCCCGCCCAAGCCTGAGGCTAGGCCCAGGCCCATCGGCCCGACCCGAGGCTCGACCCACCGGCTCCGGCCCGGACCCAAACGAGCCTGCCCCGGGCCGTGGGTAGGCTTTGGGCAGCCCACAGGCCGCGGGCCAATTTTACATTCTTATCAATGTGCATGTTAACATGTCAATGTGAATATTCACATTGTCAACGGGTCGGGCCTACCCCGAACCGCAGGCAAGCTTCGGGCAACGGGCAAATTTTACACTCCTATCAATGTTAATGTTAACATGTCAATGTGAATATTTACAATGTCACGGGTCGGGCTGCGATCGGGTTTCGGGCCGCCCACGGGCTGCAGGCCAATTTTACACTCTTATCAATGTGAATGTTAACATAGCAATGTAAATATTCACATTGTCAACGGGTCAGGTCGGGCCCGCCCTGGGCCGCTGGCCAATTTTATACTCTTATCAATGTAAATGTTAACATGTCAATGTGAATATTTACATTGTTAACGGGCCGGGCCCGCCCCGAGCTGCCGGGGAAGGCTTTTGGCCGCCCATGGGCCACAGGCCAATTTTATACTCTTATCAATGTGAATGTTAACATGTCAATGTGAATATTCACATTGTTAACGGGCCGGACCGGGCCCGTCCCGGGCCGCCGGCGAGTTTCGCGCCGCCACGAGACGCGGGCCAATTTTACACTCCTATTAATGTGAATGTTAACATGTCAATGCGATTATTCACATTGTCAACGGGCGGGGCCCGCCCCGACTCACGGGCGGGTTTCGGGCCGCCCACGGGCTAATTTTACATTCCTACCAATGTGAATTTTAAAATATGAATGTTCACATCATAAAATTACTAATTGTTCAAAAAATATTTATAAAGGTATTAAAATTAAATATAAGGACATAAGTGTCCAAGAAAATAGTGTAAATCAAAAAAAATGACTTTATAGAATAAAACTATACATACATAGAACTAAATGGGTTAAAAAATTTCTTCATGTACTTGTTAGGTTAAAATACTTCTAAATGTAATTTATCAATAAAAATCTCATTTTAAAATTAGAGTAAACAACTTGTATTTTAAACAAATCACAAGGATGTATTTGTAATTTAGCCATTTTATTGTTTTTATGGAACAGAAAATGGTTGTCTGGGCTTGGGCTTTGGGGGAAGACGGGGAAACTTTGAAATGAGGGATTGTTGCTAGAACGAGAGCGGTAAACATTTTTATTTGAATTCTCTCTCAAGGAAAAATTATTGGGTGCTAGGAGGTACCAGGCATTGATCGATGAGGTGAGTAAACACAGAGAGAGAGAGAGAGAGAGAGAGAGAGAGAGGAAAGGGTTAGGATTAGTTTTCTTTTTTCTTCTCAATCTTCAAAAACCCTTGGCAGTTGCCCTAGTTCTTCTTCGATTCAATCAATCCCCAATTCAATTATTATGTGGTAGGCATTGTTACCCACCTATCATGGTATGTACGTATCATCTGTATATAGAAGACAGAAATAGATAAGCAAACAAACATAAAAGAAAGAAAGAAAGTAAGAAAAGAAGTGGGAAAAATGGTGGAAGAAGGATCGGCATCGTTGCGGAGAATTGGGGAATTGATAAGGAAGGAGGTGCCAGATTGGGACGATGAGGTGATGGTGACTGCAAGATTCAAGGCGTTTAGCGGACAGAGGTCGGATTGGGAGCCCAAATATGTTTTCTGGAGAGACTTGATCCTTAAGCTCTCCACCCACCTTGGTGTCTTCCTCTTTCATCCTTCCGAGGTATCCCATCCAATTTCGCTTTTACCAATTTTATTTGTTTATTTATTTGAGGGTTACTTTTTGTGTTGTTCTTCCACAAATTTATATTAAAAATCTTTACTTGGTACATGGGTAGATGATGGTTTGAAAGGAAGAATTTCAAGTTGAATAGAAAACAAGAAATGGGTATTATTCAAGAAACTTACAGATTGAGATAATTCAATTACAACTCAAAAAGGTTACACAAGAAGACACACGATAGCCAATCATGTTGAACTAGCTCCTCATTGTACCTACCTCCCAACTCAACCAACCCGTTCCTTTTGGTGTTTGTAGGCATGCCTTTTTTTAGCAAAGATAGAATCTATGACTTCCCTCGCCATGTATCACAATCATTATCCCACGAGGACTTGACTCTACTGCTGTGCTCTGGCCCCTCGTGATGGACCTCAATTTTTGCAGTGGTGAATCATAGGTGCTAATGTTGATTCCTTTCTGTCCATTAGACTTCCCCAAAATGATTGTGGACACTATTTATATCCTTGGTACCTACATTGAAAACTCTACATTCTACATGATCAACATCCTTTGCAAATGTTTTATTTAAAAACATTGTTTTGTTGTCTGTTTTATAGTTTTGCTAAGATGCTGTTTGTTTTCTTGAAGGTAAAAAACCTTTGGTTCAATCGAGGAGGCTTGACCCCTTTATGCATTGACCACGTCCTGGTGAGTTTCTTGTGATTCAATGATTGTGTTATATACAACCCTCTCAAATCATAGTCTTAATTCTCCTTCACAGTAAAACATACTTCTGTGAAGAAGATTGATTCATTTCCATAGTGCATCGTGACATTGAAATATCTCCTTTCAGCTAGACACAGATATAATTAGTGACTATCATTATCATTATCATTACCATTATCATCCAAACCTTATACCAACTGTTTTTAGGTTGTTGAGTGGTCTAACATTTATACAAACCCATATATTATGAACCATCTTTTTATTACTAAGCCTTTTGTGTGCTTATAATTTCACAAAGAAGAAAAGAAAAGAAGAAAAAAAAAACTGGTGTTTTTACAAGGTATGCAAATGGTTGTCGAACAAAACAAACCCGCAGAATTACAGATCTGTCCTCTTATGGTCACAATCTTATCCAATACTTTAGGATCCATTAAATTCCTTGGCATACAACCATCTTGTTAATGTAGCAGCATGTAGCCCTCTATTTTCTTCCATTTGGTCCAAAGATGTCCTTCAATATATAATATTATGTTCTTTTCATCTTCAGCTTGAAATGTATAATGCTGGTGATATTTTACGAAGAGGGGATCTTGTCGATCCAACAAGTGGACGGCTCTCACAAATTTTGAGAAGAGTAGTGCATCTGGTGGGTTTATCTAGAGCATCAACTCAGGTGGATATCATGGAAGACCATCTCATTCTCTTGCCAGTATTGAAGGTTGTGTTATGGTATTTTTTATCTCTTAGTAATAGGAGACAAAGTAGCATGGATAATTCTAGAAATGTGTCATGCTTATATCCAGTACTAATACTTAACAAATACTCCCTAATACATGCCCTGAAACTAAATGTACTCGTAATGTGAAGTTTTCTTATTCTTGTATATGTAAGTTTTCTCTTATCCATGTCTGCGCTTTTAAGGAGCTTCATTTATCTCCCATGTTCATTTTGTCATGCATTTGAATTTCTCGAACAAAAAAGAGGTAAATCCCTATTGGTACAGGAGAATTATAGGTCATGCTTGTGAATACGATTAATGTGCAGTTTCTATATGGTTACCACAGATACATTAGACACAATATTTAACATGTTGAGATATGTTAGCAGTCATTTGACCTTCTCAGCATTGGCTCTTCTCATTAATTAGTACTTTTTATAGGCTAACTTTTGTTCCATGTTATGCCTGAGTCTGCTGGCAGAGTAATTAGTGCAGGAATTTTATTTCTGATTTTCTTGTCTATACTATTTTAGTTTAGAATGTTGTTGTAAAAGTTTTCCTTTCTTAATATGTAGGATAAAGCTGCTGAAGTTGTCAAATCTATATCTGAAAGTCATTGGACTTCTTCATGCATCATTACAATGAGGAAGTTCCAGGACATCTGTGGAGGATCCAAGGAAGCATCTGCCATTTTGAGTTACTTGTCAGGATGCAGGAAAGTGCAGTACCTTGCAATCAATAAGGGGGAATTCATGGAGGTACTGTTTGTGATATTTTTATTCCTGGATGTTATGTGAAGTTTGATTCTTTAAGGAGCTGAATCATCATTGATGAAGTAAAATCATGGTATACTTGCAACTGATTGACACCTTTGTCAGTAGAAATAACACAATGTATACAAATTATAGCATACCAGTAAAAGAGAAAACTACACTCAGTTTAGTCCTTCATTTGATGGGGGTCTTGGGGGATTGCTCTCTCTCTCTGTAGATTGGGTACAGGCCTAACCTTTGGCATGATTTGTGCAAAGTGGCTGCCCTCAGCTTCAAACCCACAATCTCAAGGTTAGTAGGCTGAGTTTTAACCACTGAACAAGTGATGTAAAAATGCATTATGTAGTCAAACTTATATACTTGAGGCAGTATGATTGAGGGGCAACGAAAAGGAGTTGGATGAAGAGAGATTTAAAATTAGGGTATTTAATGATTTATTTTGACATTATTTAAAAGAATTTTGTATCAAAACCTTCTAAAGATGCTACCCATGTGGAGGAAATTGTTCTCAGTTGCCTCAACATTCAACTCAACTGCTATCAGCAAAGGAAGAAGATCATTGTTAAATGGCTGAAACCTACCATTGAGATTGAGATATTTGATTGGGATTGGGATCCCGGGTTTCTTCTTCTTCTTCTTCTTGGTGCTACAAATTTTTGAATTCATGTCGAAAACAGCCCAAAATACATTTATCAACCCTGACCGAAGTTCTATTTCCAAATCGTCACCTTGATTCAACTATGCCTTTGTGAAATATCTTATGCATTTTCTGTTATTCTGTTTAATACTTAAGCGTAGTTAGTCTTATCATATGTAATTAGCACTCTAGGGTTTTTTTTCATTTTGCCTATTTAACTTGTACTAGCTTGATGGTTTTTTCAATAAGACAATATAATATTCTGGTTACATATGTTTACAACCTTTAGTTATGTCAAGACATGTATTTATCTCTTGCAGGGTGTCAAAGTCTCTCTCTTGCCAGAAGCAGTTTCAAGTATCACAAGTCTGGATTGTGATGTTTTGCATTTGATTTCAACAGCAGAAAAACTTCAGCAACAACTTCATGTGATTAATCAACGTTGGGAAATGTGATCATAGCTAACTCTTTATACTCTTCTTATGTTAACATTATAGGTTGGCAGAACGCAAATAGATTAATATAGTCCATCTGAATTAGTATGAGGCAATGTCATACAAATCACTAGTATTGCAAAATGCATACATAATGGGTATTATAAAAAGGGGACACAAATTTTTAATCATGATTCAACATGACATTCTAGGAAGTGTGGATTATTGATATTGACCCCTTTCTGGCACTGTGCCAGCTCGTTAAAGCATTTTATTTAAATATTCTCTGAAGTTTAAGCCAATTAGGAGAGAATCAATTGACAATTTCTATGGTGGGGATATAATTGATTATTCTTTATGGTTTCTCTTAACATGTGAATACTAAGCAATAGTAACATGGATTTAGTTTCTTTTCTCATATAAACATTGGTTCTTTGCACAGGTATAGAAAGTTAGCTTTAGCTTCTCTGCAATCTGGGAACAAAAAAGTGGCTCTGAAGCATGCAAGGGAATTAAAATTATCCTCTGAAAGTAGAGAAAAATGTACTACACTTCTCAACAGAGTGGAGGAAGTCCTCAGAGTCATTGCGGATGCCGAATCCTCAAAAAAGGTAGGCTGACAAAATATTTTGCATTTGCTTCAGCTGCACCTCCATTGTACCATATTTCTTAACACCAAAATATCTTCGATTCACTCACCTGTCACCTTCTGATGGCAGGTTTCTGAAGCCATCCAGATTGGTGCACGGGCAATGAAGGATAACAGGATCAATGTAGAAGAAGTTCAGCTCTGTTTAGAAGAACTTGAGGACGCCATTGATTCACAGAAGCAAGTTGAAAATGTTCTAGGTAATTTTCTTGGTTTAACCGATTTGAGTTGTACTTTTTTTGGATTATTCAAAATAAATAACTTACTAATTTTTTATTGAAGCATACTACTACTTGAACATGACAATGAAACAGACCGGGGGAAAACTTACTAAAATGTACTCTCTGTGTTATAAGGGGGAATGGGGGAGTGAGAGAAGGGGTTCGGGGCTGTCGGAGGGAGGAGCTGAAGGAAGAAGAAGGGGCTGGGGGGAGGAGGAGTTGGGTGGTAGCGGGAGTGGTGGTCATAGCTAGCATTTTGCAAAGGGGAGGGTCGCCTGAATGGAGGGAAGGGGGTGAGGACTGGTGGGAAGGAGTTGGGTGGTTGCATTGGGGGAAGAGGATGGGACTGCCTAGAGATCGGGGAGTGATGGGCAGGCAGGGAAGGGGGCTGTTGAAGATGTGGGTGGCGGGGGAGGGAGATGTCCGAGGTGGGTGGCAAGGGTGGGGTCCTAAAGGGTATAGTTGGGATTATCGTGGGGGTTCAAAGAAAAAAAGGTTGAGAGCAATTTTGGGAAGTTTCCAAAGTAAAATGGTGGGGGCTATTTGCAACGCTCACCAAAAAAAGGTTTTCAATCAATTTTTTGTTTTTACTTGGAAATGGAAGTGGCATTGAATTCCACAATTGCCGAGAATGGAGAAATTATCTTGTAGGTGTGATCTATAGGACGCATGGTGTATGCTCCCAATTGTAGGGGAATATATGGCCACCTTATTTCCTACTATAGGAGGGTGAGCACAGTCACATGGTAGGCCAGATCTCTACTAGAATGAGCCATTCTGCTTGTTTTGATACCTTTTTTAACTCCAGTCTGTGTTGCTACTGCAGAATCAACTTCATCATACACAGGGATTGAGGATGAAGATGTTGAAGATGAGTTCAAGAAACTGGAGCTGGAGTTGGAAGTTGGAAGCGATTCCTCCCAAGTTTGCATCTCCGAAGTTGGGGTGAAGAGTGTGAGGGAAGAAATGGAGGATCAAAAAATTGCGGAATCGATAAGTGATGCTTTATCAAATCTTAACCTTGTGGATGTTGCACCCATGGTATCAATAACTCGGCAGGATTCTACGGACTCAACAAGAAACAACTTATCAAAAACTCCCAAGCTTGAAGCTGCATAGTTTGAGCTTTTCTCATTCTGTAAAAACTTATAATCAGATTCACCCTGTAATTTACTTACAGCTTGACTTTTAGAAGAACAAAAAAAATTAAAACTTTTTCCAAAATGTTGTTAAGACCCCAAGGAAACATTTGTAATTCAAATGTACTTCTGTAAATATTAGATTTACACTCATTTGTAAAATGCAAAAAATGTGTGCAGAACATTAGTTTTTGATTTATATAACTTGCATTTGTGGCCACTATAAACATATTTGACATTTTTCTTGGTACATCGGAGACTGTAGCTGAGGAGCACCTATGGTAAAATTCAAACCCGTTAATAGTTCCAACCAACTGAATTAGTCCAAGTTAGTTATATTTGATATATTTTTCTATGAAGATATTAGTGTTGGTACTTTCTAAATAAAAAGTGAAAATTATCAAAAAAACATTGATTGGTGGCCCGAAAAATCATGGCTCAAATGGCTCGAAACATCTAAAACGACATTGTTTTGGGTGTAAAACGACGTCGTTTTGACATATTCGAACCATTCGAGTCACAAAAATTTAGACCACCAAATATTTTCCATTATCAAATAAGGTGATAAGTGTTATGTAAAAGGTCACATAAGATGTCTCTCGAAAGTTGTCATCCTAGCATAGTAGCATTATCTTTGATCAAGTGTAATTTCTGTTATAATTGGTTTTAAATGGTTAAAGAAAATTTTAGATACTTATATGCCAACCACTGGCATAAACACAGCACAAGTAGGGTTGTAAATGAATCGAGCTGTTCATGAATAAGTTCGGCTCAGCTCGTTAAGGGCTCGGCTCGTTTAGTAAACGAACCGAGCTCGAGCTCAAACTCGCATAAGCTCAGCTCGTTTATCTTTACTTAAATTATATAATAAATATATTATTTATATATTAAATAATATATAAATATATATATAAATAATAATATAAATACATTTTTTATATATTAAATAATATAAATAATATTTTTTATTTAAATATTTATGTTTAAATAATATAAATAATACTAAAAATAATTATCGAGCCGAGCTGAGCTCGAGTTTCATTAAAATCAACAAGCCGAGCCGAGCTCGAGCCCAACTCTTTATCGAGCCGAGCTCGAGCTCAATAAACAAGCTCGATAAGTAAACGGGCCGACCTCAAGCTCGGCTCGGCTCGGTTTGTTTGCAACCCTAAGCACAAGTGGCTTGGCGCAAGGTTCAGATATAATATTTTACTTAGTCCCTACAACACTTGCAAAGTAATCTTCTAATTACCCTAAACTCATCACAAAATCACATCATATTATGTTGTGTTGTCCTAGAGATAGAGACCAGTTCCAAGTCCCCACTCTTTTTGGACTATAGGGAGAGTCCAAGAGGGAGACAGCAAACTCAGGAAATTTACCAAGAAAAACACTGGAAATAAATTTTCCCAGTCTCCACAGTCCACAATTCAATCCAAAATAAAAATAAAAAAAAGGCATTTCAAAGGGCATTGACATGTTAACAATAATAAGGGCGAAAAGATATTAGCACTTATAATACTAGATGCAACTGAATCCCACATTGAAAAGTAAGAGAGTTATGAATAGCTATAATGGCAGTAAATTTAATATAAATTTCTAATAATATGTATAGTAGTAACATGTACCAGGTGACCTCTTTTTCTAGCACAATCTTCCTGTCAGCGATCCACAATGAGAAGATTGTATACCGTTGTGCACCTCCACTCTTTAGAACAATGCCAAATGGAAAACAAAAAATGCCTGGAGTCCTTTTACAAATGAAAACAAAGAGAAAAAAAAAGGGCAGGGGGAAATCATATTTCAGTGTATTTGTTCCGTGCAACAGTCAGTTTTTTTCATCATCAAGTATTTTACTATCCTATGCTGTCAGTTCAACTCTTGATTCATCTGAGTTCATTACATATATCTGGTGACTAGGCAACCCACTCATTAAGCTACTCCATGAACCTAAAACAGCAAAAGACCAAGTTAACGCCATTCGGAGAGAATTCTCTCATCTTTACAACTAAGAATGTAAGTGGAAAACAGTTGAAAAATGAGCAATGAAATCCAAAGTAGGAGTTGATTGCAGCGCCACTCTGTTACTGACGAAATGAGTAGGTTTACATTCACAACCAAGTCCTCAGCACAAATAAAATCTTAGGACTATTGCCTAGCTGCATATTGTGTCTCCAACGTGGTAGATTCCAGTAGAAATCATGTCAACTGAGAATACCCTCTTTTAAACACTCCGCTACAACATATTTTAATTGAAGCATCTTTTCCCTTGCCGACTGCAATGAATAAAACAAATTACATGAAAATCATTTAAAATATAGAAGTTGCCTCAGTAATAAAAGGTAAAATGCAGAGTTTCAAGTAATATGGAACTATAATATTATATCACAATTTTCAGACAGCTGAGCCTGGCTCTTTTACATATGAGGATCAACTGGCCTGGCTCTTACATATGAGAACCAAAATATGGAATACGCTATACATGCAGCAATGACATATGAGGATCCATTTTGATAGGCAAAGCTCTGGGATCCATTAGCATGAAATATGGTGTAGATGATTAAATATACAAATATTCTCAATGAAAAGAGAACATCTCACAGTGGAGAAGAAGAGGGATTATTAACTCATAAGCTTTACTTCTAAGTAACACCTTACAAGTGCAGCCCACTTGATGGAGAAGGATTATATAATACTTAACAGGTGTGACCTATAAATGGAGATATCAAACCACTACATGCTATCATTAACACATATTGACATTGTGCTCACCAGTCTAGTCATCTCCAATACCTATATCAAACCACAACACGCTAAACGGATAGCTAGGAACATGCTAAATGTACAGCTACGAGCCTAGGATCCTGCTAAAAAAATAACTAGGGTCCAAAATCAAGTAGAGAACCATTTGGAATGCAACAAATTATCCAGATTCTAAGAGAAGGAAACTTGCATTGTGGACAGCGGTGATTCTTCTTTGAGCGTCACTGAGTTGGGTCTCAACTGCTTCTTCCAATTGCTTGAGAAGCTTTCTCTGCGATGTTTCTGATCACATTAAAGAATCAATAGAGCATATCAGAATTATGAACTGCACAAGTGTACTTGTCAAAAATAAAGCCCAAGGTCTCCCAAAGTCCCAAGGTAAGACATAGAATGTAAATAAGAGTGAAAAATGACAAGGTATAGGCATTTCAATATCTTGATTCTTCATTTCAACAATTAAAAATAGAAAATGGGGAGAACATGATAAATGAAAAAAATTAACCAATCTAACACAGTTAAGGAGCATATTGGCATGGTTAAACCCAAAAGGATAAAATCAAAAAAAAAAAAATTTGCGTATGAAGCACATTAAATATAACAAATACACATGCAAAAATATGCATTTGGTAAGACACTTGGCTGTTATTAATTACGACCAAGTCACAGAAGAGATGTAATTGATCAATTGTAGAGTTGATGCGTAAGGCACCTCATGAGTCTTGAGGTGCCTTAATAATGCATGTACCTCTTGGACCCTTGCCTAGCTTCGAAACCCTCAAAACGTTTTAGGACCACCTCTCCTCAAGGCAAGCTTTGAAGGGAGCCTCAAAAAAGGCTAAAGAACATTGAGGTTACAGGATCACCAAACATAGGAGCTTGTGTTTAGTTTAGCATATTTTAGTTCAACCAGAAATGAGGATGATGCATGTGGGCATCCCTTGGATATCAAATAATTGGCTCTGTTTCACATAGAATTTAAATGATGCACCGTATTTCTTTAAGCATTAAAATAAATCTGTTCCTTTCTCTAAAATTAGTTCAAACTAAGGGCATGTTAAGACTTCAAAGATGAAGCTCATCCATTTGCTTTCATAATGAGGGTAATGTTGTTGTACTACCTACCTTTTTCTGTCATATGTGAACTTAAAAGACTAGTCGATTTCTACAGGAAACCCAAACTTTCCCTAATTGTATAATTGGGCACAGATTCCGAGCAATATCCACTTGTGAAAGCTTCTACACAGTTGTATTCCCACCAGAAGATGATGACATAGGCACATAGTATTCATATCTCATACACAGTAACAAAATATATAGCATGTATTCACATGACAGATCACATTTACATACAACCCAATTAACAGTCACATCACATCCCACTAAATGGTTGCAATTATAATGTCCTACAACTCCCATTTGACTGAAGATTGGGCATTATGGTTCAAGTTTTCAGTTTGTATCATGTTACAGGCCATAGATGTAACAAAATATTCACAGAAAATATGGACCAGCTTGCATATGTTTAATGTGGAGATGATAGGGTATGATTACTAATATCATGACTGGACATATAACTTGTCAACTATCTGAAACCATTAAGGCAATCAAATAGAATCTATAAGATAAAGCTAGGGCCATACTTTGTTTCTCCACAACTCCTCTAAACTCTCTCTCCTGTGTGTCCAGTCCTTCAACTGTGCTCTTGCATTCCTCCAGATGCCGATTAACCTCTGCTTTGAACTTTTGATATATGAATTTCAGTTGTTCCTGTTGCTCTGCATAATAAATTTGCCCATTTAAGTTTAAAAAACAGTGGGAAAAGAGTCCAACCCATTTGTGCATGCGTAAATACATTCTCTGAATGGACATGACCCATTGCAAGGATCACACAGCCATTGAAGAGTAACCTCATAGAAGGTATGCTGAAAGCATATATGATCTATGACACCCAAACACACTAAAATGGAAAGCATATTGAAGGTATTCTCTAATACTAAAATGGAAAGCATGGTGCTGCAAAGCTTAGTCTCAGTCCAAGTACTATAGATGGATATAGGACACACAGATAGTGGGCTACTAGGCTAGGACTCAGCAATAGGTGTTGGCAATCATGCCAAAAAATGAACATAATTACCGGAAGAAGTAATTTGAGCAACAAACTAAGCACTTTGTATATTTTTGTTAAAATCCACCTACTCTCCACCTACTTCACCCACTTAAACCTAGAAGTAATTTGAGCAACAAACTAAGCACTTTGTATATTTTCATAAAATATTATATATATACATATATTGTTAGGACATCATTAGTTAGTTTGGCTATTTTTAAATAACAAGATCTCCAGGATCTGTATTTTTGGGGCTTTGGATTGGTAAGATTTTTAGTTGACCTAGTGAGATTGAGTTCACCTCTTGAAGATTATTCTCAGCAGTTGATGTGATGCAAGTCTTCAATTTGTTTGCCAGAGGTTTGAAGACTTGTTAAAGAGGATATTTTTCAACTAAGGTCAACAATTTGTTAAATATGTGATGCAAGCTTTAGTTAAATATAACAAAAGACAAGCTTCAGTTAAATAGGATATTTTTACAACCAAGGTCAACAATTCGTTTGCCTGTGGTTCTTTTATACCACATAGATCCCATAGGCGTAAACTGTGATTTGATGGGGTTTTATGTTTTTTTGCAACTCAAATATGTACAGTACGTAAGGTGCTTATTGAAACCTAAACACCCAATTCAAGAATTTCAAAATACACAGTACTGTTTAACTTCTATCATGATCTGTATTTCGTCATGTGCCAAATGCCAAAGAAAAATAAGCACATTTAACGGTGGGTATGTGGGCAAATATATCCAGTTATCGTAGCAATCTGACCAATTCAATATAGAACTAGTACCTAGGAAGCACGGATACGGATACTGGATACAGATACGATACGATACGGCGATACGACAAAATTTGAAAAACTAGAATACGGGTACGGCGGGGATACGTTCGTAAAAAATATTATTTTAATAATTTTTAGTAATGCAGTATGCATAAAAATAAAACTTAAAGCAAAAGACAACTTGATAAAGAAGAAAGATTCCTACAAAACTAGGAGTCTTCAAGGTCAATAGCTTCAACTTGTTCTCCTTCATCAGTGAATATCACAAGACCTTAGCTAAAGCCAAAGCTAAAAAACCATTCTTAAATAAAAATTTCAGCAAATATACTTTTTTAAGTCATCAATGATAGCCTAGGAAGCACGGATACGAATATGGTGATATGGGGATGTGGATATGGCGATATGTCAAAATTTGAAAAAGTATGATACGGGTACAGCGGGGATACATTCATAATTTTTTTTTTTTTTTAATAATGTAATATGCATGAAAATAAAACTTAAAGTAAATTAATAAATAAAGAGAGGGATTCCTATTAACCTAAAAGTGCTCAAACATTCATAAAACATCCAAAACTAAAATCAAAAGCAAAAGCAAAAGCAAATGCAAATGCAAATTAAACATCATCTTTACATGTCAACACCAAAAAAAGAATGAGAGCAGAGAGAAGAAACGTGAGAGAATGAGAAAGCGAGAGAGAAGTGAGAGAGACAACAAGGATACATCAATTTGACAAATTCTATTACTTAAGCTCTCACTATATTCCTCTTATGAAAGAACTAAACAAAATATTATAAGTAATATGTAACTTCGAGTATCCGATACTTCAAAATTAAGTATCCGATACTTCAAAATTAATAAAAAATTAATTAAGAAGTATCCGATACTTTTAAGAAGTATCCGATACGTATCCGCGAGTATCCGAGGAGTATCGGTATCCGATAAGTATCCGATACGGATACGTCACCCTTTTTGAAGTATCCGTGCTTCATAGACTAGTACTCATTTAAAACCAATTAAGGTCATCACATTATCACAAGTTTCATTACCTTCAAATTCAGTTTCTAGACGTTTTCTTTTTGATTTACTGAGGCTTGTTAGCTTCCCCCTGAAACAACATCACAATCACATTTAAAAAGCTAATTCCTTCAATTCTCAATCCTGTAATCTCAAAATACGTACACATCTCTTTGGATCTGAGATTCAGCATTCTGAAGCTGTGAGTGTATTCCCTCAGCAACAGGCATCAGAACTTCAGCAGATTTCTTGCTAGTCACCAATTTTATTTTGCTTTTAACTCGTTCTAAAGCCAAAGCAAATAGAGTGATGGCACTGAGACATTGAGAAAGAGGAACAAATGTCAAACAGAAACAAGGGAAAGAATATATATTGGCACAAAATAGTTATATTTTCCTTCAACAAAAACTTTTGTGGCTTGTTTGAACAAAAAGAAATACTTGGCCAATCCATCCTCTTGGTTCTGGCCTAAAGGTCCCTGGAGTCCTTTACTTTCCTCAGTCTCTGTCCATATTATACAGCCAAAGAAGAAGTCAAAAACAATAACAAACAATAAACAAACAACTGCAACGCTGAGAGAGAGATTAAGAGAGAGAGAGAGCAAAGAACAACAAAACAATGATAAGGAAAGCATAACATATTAAATTTAGTGAAGTGCCTTTGGGAGAGTTTGAGATGGGACTGAATCCATTAAATTTAATGTTTTCTTGGCTCCTGATCCGTTTACTTGGATGAAGTGCAAACTTTGAATTCCAAGCACTACCAATTTCTGGAGACAGCGATTCTGTTCCCCTACCTGCACATGTTCCTTAGAATTAAAAAAAAGTGGCTGTTTCTTAAAAAGAAAATAAAGAAGGAAATGAGAAATGAAAACACAATGAGAGAAACACATGGTGGTATCCCACACAACAGGCTCCACCCTGGTTGGAACCTATTAATCCATCAATTGCCTGGATGAATTATGGTTCAAAAGTATACCTACACTGAACAGGTATGATTAAACTGTGACTATACTAAAGCTTGCATCCTATGAATATAGTGTTCCTGCAAGGTTTATCCATACAATAATCATCAAAGGAACATTATTAAGGCTTCATGACCTGATGCAGCAATCACTAAATATTGTAACTAGAATCTCTGACTCCATGAACTCATTCTATACCAATTCTGGGTATATATGTATGTGTGTGTGTAAGCAAGAATGCGTGCACATTTGGATTTGTTGTGGGTTTAGATCAAGGTTCATAGACCATTGACTTTTTCTAACTAATGTCATGCAAGACAAAATTTTTGACACACGACAACCTACATTGGACGATCACTTTTATTCAGGGCTACATTCCTTGATCATTTTAGTTTTGTTTGCTTATTAAGAACTCTCACTGGGATAAGAATGGATGTATTATATTTAAAGTACAAGGCCATTAATCACTTGGGCACATTCACATGCAACGAGGTATAACAAGAGGTTCACCCAGCCAGGAATTGAGAATTTTTTCCAGTGGGAGTTAAATGTTTAATATTAGTTCCACTCCTGTTCATCAGAGTCAAGCTTGAGCCCAAATTGATTGAGGTCTTGATGCCTTGGCCGGTTACCAAGAACAAGTCTACAGCCGAAATTGGCCAAGTTTAGAGCACCAGATACTAATTCTGAACCTTGTCTCGTGTCCATGTAAACTAATATCAGTTTATATGCTTTATACATTTCCTCCAAATAATATTGTGTTCAAAGCAGCTTTCTCACTGCAGGTTGAGCATGAGAAATTGGTTTCCTTACATGAATCTAATGTGTGTTCTTTTGTTGTTAGTGGAGACATTAACACATTTTTAAAATAGTAAATAAATAATATTAGAGGAATATATTCATGTGTAAATACTTTAGTGTGTCTTTATAACCTTTGTGAATAGGTGAACCTTCTTTAGAGCTCTTGGAGTCCCTTTCTTTTGATGATGATTCAGACAGTCTATTTTTTGCATCTTCCTCTTCCATAATAGGATCTGATTTCATGAAAGGAGAACCTTCAAGTTCCTCTGCATCATCCTGAAAGCTAAATAAGGAATAGCAAAAGAAAAAAAGACTGAAGCAGGTTGGAAAACAATACGTGTAATTGAAATCATCAGAACTGGGACCCGCATGACAGCAAGGATACAGATGATTCCGTCCCCACATCTGTTCTATAATAATCTGGTTTTGAGGCTAACAAACTATTGAAGCTACAGTGTGCATGACTGTGATCATCCAGTTCTCCATGGTTGGTTTTTGGTGGGGAGCAAGGAGAAATGCTTTTGGTGGGTGTTCTAATCTCAAATGTCGGGCTCTGGAGATCAGAATGTGGATCCACAATGTTCTCTAAAGATGAATTAGCCAAGTCTTCTTGCTGGCCCCGATGTTGTGGGAATGTTGTCACATGGTTAACATTACGTGGCTGAACTGTCATCTTCATCGTCTCTGATAACTGATGGGAATCCTTTTTCTGGATTCCATTCTCCCGCTCAACAAACTCAATGTTGTTCTCATGAGATAACCTTTGAAAACTCCCTTTTCTATTTCCAAGTGATGATGTCTTCTCAGCACATCTAGTTGTTTTATTCATATCAGTTGCCTGCTGAATCTCATCGGCATTGTCCTTTGCAGGAAAGCAGATCTTATGTGCCTCAGTTTTGAAACCCTTTCTCTCTCTCTTCTTTCTGTAGAATTTTGGAGAACCACCAGTGACAGCAGTATCTAGTCTTCCAGAAAATCCGTCTTCAAAAGAATAAATGTTCTCTGGGTATTTCTTTGTATGAGTAGAGGATGTCAGGTTCCTAAGTTTGTTTGTTTGTACTTTACTTGGAGCTCTATTCCTGGTCGAAGAACGAGTTACTGGCCTCCTAATAGCATGATCAGGACTCTCGGAATCAGTCTCTATTGTGTCAGAATTCTGTCTAGGCTTGACAACAGATTTACATTTTTTATCAATGTTCTGCTCTGGGCTTAAGTTATTCACACACATCTCAGGATCCTGAGAAACTTGCTTGTTTGGTGAAGAAACAGTCCCCAATATATCCCAAAGCTTCATTCTCAAAGTTTCCCTCATGTCTTCTGTTTTGTTTGCTTTATTCTCTACCACTTCTTTTTCTGGAACAAAACTGTCCTGTACTGCAAACGAAAACTCTTCCACACCCTTTCGGGTTCCTTCCTTGCCTCCCTCAGCTCTGCAAGAGACCTCATCAAAGTTCTTTTGCTTGCCATCATCAGACTGTAAAGCCGACATCTGGTTCGCAAAAAACTGAACAGAGTATGTTGTTGGTGCTGCCTTTACACCATTTAATTTGTTGCTCATGCCATCACCAGACGGTAAATTTGTAGTTAGGTTTGCATAATGAACGGTCTCTGAAGTTGTGTTTTTCTGGTGGAAGGATCTAGTAGAGACCCATGGGGAAGTCTCATTCTCTGGAGCCTCAGTTTGTTTTCCTTTAATGGCAGCCTTGACTCCTTCCCCGTTTCTTCCATCACCCATGGAATTTACCTTGCTAGAAACCTTTTCCGCAATTGGCATTGAGCCCTCATCTTCCTTTGTATTTTTGGGTCTTGTTTTCACAAATGAGTCTACCATGACTCCTATTGAAATCTTCCTGGACTGGCTACATTTTTGGGAATTGCTACCAAAACTCCGACAATCACTCTTGCGATCCTGAAATTCATAATAAGAATGCATTTTCAAACTAAGTTTGTCTAGTTTGCTATGACTAAAAAATAAAATAACAGAAACAGTAGTAGGGTACTTAATAACATAAGTTTTGTTAAACATAAAGCACCAAAGCAAAAACTGGTGTCTTAAGGCAATCATATGGTCATGACAACATGGATATAACTTGACAACTTAACCCAGAATCCTCCAAAATTTATAATAAATACGGTGAGAAATTCTACAGATAAGTGTTATACAAATTCAAATCATTCAAGAACCATGAAAAAAAAAAATGGATTGAAATAATAGCTAAACTTGTAGAATGTATGTAACCCCTTACATCTCGTGCGCGTCGGATTCTATCAATGTCCATTGCCACAAGTTTAGCAGCGTGAACAGAGATCGATATAAAAATCAGCTAAAAACCTGCAAATTAGCCACAGCAATCAATAAGAACTATTGAATCAGAAGTAAATAAGTAACAGGCCAGAACCAACAAAAATTAAATAAAAAATAAATAAATTCATGCTTATTTGTGTGGGTAGATCACATTATCGGGAAATAGTAAAATTGTTTACAGTTTGTTCTTGTGTGTCTCGTATTATGATATGAGCATATCATTTAACTAGCGCAACAAACATGTAAAACCTGATAATTATGAAATCGTTACACAAATTCATTGTCAGACATTCATAAACTTCAGGTTTTTCAAATTAAATCCCATACAGATCAGTTTACACATTTATTCAACTATGAAATTTTTTGAAGATTCGAGAATAATCGAGATGAACCTATAATAATCATCAAAATCATAAAATAATAAACCATAGAAAAAAATAATAATTTGAAGAATTAAGTAAATAAATGGTTATAATTCGGATAATACCAGAAATAATCTCAGCGCCGGTGATCGAGCAACTCCATTATCCCCAATTATAATGGAAAAATTCGAATCGAAACTTTCAGAAACAATGCCTGCACGCTGAGAGAGAGAGAGAGTTTTGCGAAATGTAGAGAGAGAGTGACGAGTTTCGTGCTCGGAAGATTTACAGAAACAAAGAGGCGGGAAAAAATTAATTAATACTTACTAATAATAATAATGTAAATAATAATAATTGGTAAATTAATACGATCAGACTTATCAGACTGAGGATATAGATATTCGTTTAGAGTAATATTACCAATCTCAAATATTTTACAAAATTTTACACGGGTGTGAGATCCAAATAAATACATTTGTGTATAGGTCTTATATAGTGAGATTTGATAAAATATTTAATAAATTATTTAAGGTGCATAACATTTTTCTCCTTCTAAGCTTAATTTGTTTGGGAATAATTTTTTTAACTTGTTTTTTTTTTCGGATTAATTTAGGCCTCGTTTGAGAACCTTTTTTTTTAGTCAAAAAATTACTAAATTAATCAAAAAATCAACAACGTATATCAAAAAGTCAAAAATTCTCTTTTTCTCTACTTTTTATACATCTTTTCGTAAAAAGTCTAAAAATTATTCCAAACATACTAAATTTTTTTAGCTCATATTTTAATCAAATAGTCAAAAAGTTATTAAATTAGTCTGTTTCCAAACGAGGCGTCTGACTAAATTAGCTTCTCTTGGAAAGAATTTTTTATTTTTATGACATTTTTATTTTTTTGTAAGAAAAAAACTAAAATAATTATAATTTGAATATAAAATTTTATTTTATTAATTTATTTAACTTTATTTTTATGACATTTTTATTTTTTTGTAAAAAAAAATTAAAATAATTATAATTTGAATATAACATTTTATTTTATTGACTTGTTTAATTTATTTTGTCTTTTTATTTTTTTTAATCCCAACTAAACCCTAACTCACTTGACAAACAGTAACCTAAAATGATTAGATTAGGCCCAATACCGAACTCAACTGAGTTTTGAATAACGAGTAACACACATGCTCCTGCAATATGGTGACGACCCAACTCGAGCTTAGCCTAACTCATGTTTGTACTCCCCACGTTATCATTACTTTTAATTTTAAAAAATGAATAATTTATTCTCTAAATCATAAATATATTGTTTATTTTTATAAATAAATATAATAAAATATACATACATCAACTAAAAAATAAATAAGATGGACAGTTTGATCATCTCACAAGATGTAGCTAGATAATCCCTTCCATATTAATGTGATAAAAACAATCTAAATCCAAAATAGTATTCACCATGTTTTCTAAAAAATTGAATCAACTCTTCAAAAAATTAAGTTTTTTATTTTCCCATTTTTTAATGAATTTTTAATATATTTTATGCAATTTTTTATTTTTATTTTTAGATACATCTAATATAAATACACTTTAAAAGTATAATATTTGTAAGAAAAAAACTTTTTAAAAAAATTACAAAAAAAAAAATCAATATCTTTTCATTTTTTTTGTATTCAATTAATTTTTTAAAGATTTTTGTACATTTTTTTAAAAAAAACTTTTTGAGTAAGTTAGTGGATCTAAAATTTTTTAAAAATTATTAAAAATAAAAAAATGCAAATTGAAAACTCATAAAAGTGTTTTTAAAACTCAAATGCTTCTACCCAATTGAATCACGTGCTATACTTTTGAATATATTTTAAAATTTCAAACAGTTTATTGGGTTAATTGGTGAAAAATCTGATTTAAGAAAAGTATATGGCTAGGTTTAGTGAATATATTTTTGTTGGTGGGAGGTCAACTTTTGTGAATATAATTTGATGAGAAGTCTAAAATGATATTTTGTTTCAAATTTTACCCCTTAATTTATTTGTTAATCGTTTTTTATCTCGTTGGCTATCTATTCAAGTTTATATCTATCTGCTTAATTATTTTCTATCTGTTTGACTTTTTTGATTTTCTGTTCAAATTATCTTTTATTTGTTGGACTTTTTTTTTTTATTCAAATTTATATCTATATGTTCAAAATTTTCCCTTATCTGTTAAATTTTTTTCCATTATTTGTTCATTTTTTTCCGCTATCTATTTAATTTTTTGATTATCTGGCCAATTTTTTCCCTTATATATTCAATTTATTCTTATGCATACGCAAATAGATAGAGATAGAAATAGAGCTCCTACAATTTTATCTGTTCAAATTCTCAACAATGGCTATTTGTTCAACAAGACACTTTCAACAGATCTGTTCTGTAACAAATCTGTAACAGATCATATCAAAATTTTGAAAAAAAAAAAAAATTCATCCACACTATTTGTTCAAACAATAACAACAATCAACAACTTTAAAAAAAAAAAAAAAAAAAAAACTACAACAGTCAACACATATCTAATGAGAAAGTAAAGCAAAAATCAAAATGAAGCACATTCAAGCATATATGTATATATATAGAGAGAGAGAGAAATAGACGAAATGGAGCAGATCTGCTCAGATCTGAAGTTGCAGAAAGAGGAGCTGGATCACCCAGGGTTCATTTTCGTCGTCACCGTTGTGGACCACCACGATCTCCACCAGTTGAGGCGGATCGAAGCACTCGGTGTATACATTTGTGAGGCACGTTTTCGGCAAAGCTGCTGGTGTACAGATCTCTGTTCGGCGAAAGCATTTTTGCGGCGGAGGTGGATAGTCTGGCGGCTAGATCAAACGATGGAGACGCTGAAGGCATCAGAGGCGACTGCGAGCTTGATGGAGTAGAAGTTCGCTAAAGGAGGATAAGGCAAAGCGAGAGAGAAAGAAATGGAGACCGGTTTTGATTGTTTGGCAGTGTATGGAATCATGAAAAAAAAAAATCATGAAGATGATATGAAAAAAATTTCACTTTTAAGTTACATATATAATAAAATATCACACATTTATCAAAAGAAAAAAAAAATCATGATATATTTCATGATATTTTTTCATAATTCTTAACCTTACTCGATATATATAAAAGGAATTTTGTTAATTTAGCCTGAACTTGTTTTTATAGCCAAACTAATTCAACGCTTGATCTCTCACCAAACAAAATTTAAAATTGGATCTTTGGCCCAAGCATCCTAATTTATTTTGTAAAATTAAACAAAAAAATCAATGAAATTGATTGAAAATTAATGTTATAGACTGTTTTGTTATGAATGTATAAGAATTCATCTTTTGAATATTTTGGAAAGATAGTTAAAAGTTTTTTTTTTTTTATTATTTAACTTTTTTATTATTTTATGTGAGAAGTGATGTGATCCAAAATAAGTTAAAAATTAATTTTTGATTTTTTTAATATATTGCCAAACCACTCTTTTGTTGATTATGAAAATGCATAAATGCTACTTGTTGAATGATAAATCAAAACACGTGGTGGTAAAGACAATTTATAACATCATTGTTCTTTTAAGTAAATAAGCTTTAAAACAATATAATATTAAAATATGTTTTTAATAAAATTAATATTTTTTTATTTATTTGATCAATATCTTTAAAAAAAAAACAATGATTCATCTCACTAAAAGTATTACCACTAATAGCACTAATACATTAAAAAAGTAAAAAAAAAAAAAATACAACTCTAAGACCAAAATATCACATCATTAATAGCGGAACCCACTGCCATCTAATTAGTAGGAGCACTAATTAATACTCCCAAATATTTTTCTAGAAAAAATCAATAACATTGAAGAAAAAAATAAGTCAACGGTTAGGTTTATTTGTCCCATTTTGAAATTAATTTAATTTGATAAGGATTGAGGTCAAAGTAACCTCAGATAAAAAATATATTTTGTACCATCGAAACTATGATTCAACAACAAAATAAGACATAAACTTGTTTAATCAGATGACATGACTTTTCAATAAAGTCAAAGTTCAAAATCAAACACAGTCAATTTTTGCAAAAATAACCACTTATAATTGTTTTAAGTGCATAGATTAAAAAATAAATAAAATTACTTTCATTCAAACACCATAAACTTAAATAGACCCATTTTGAGAACATGGTAAAAAGTTACGTTTTTTGACAAAATATCCAAAAATGTGGCTGTCAAAAAAGTCAGAAAAGTCATTTGGCAAGTGCCAAAAACGCAGTCCTAAAATTACAAATTATGGCCTATGAAAAATAAATAAAAAAATAACTCTCTTATGTTGGGTAAGTGTATTTTGGTCATTTTAATTTGATTTGACACCATAAATAAATATTAAACTAAAAAGCAAAAAGCCAGCTTTTTACCAACTTCCTAAATCACTTCCAAAAAAGCCAAAAAACTTGGTAAAAAGCCAAAAGCCAACTTTTTACCAACTTCCCAAAACAACCCATAATAACACATAATATAAATAAAATTTTAGCACCAAAATCAAACTGAGCATTCACACACTCTTGTAGCGTATGAAAAGAATAAAGCTTTGGACCCCTAGTGGGGTACTGGGGGGTCACCTCCCATTGGTCCAAAAAAAACAGTTTTTTTTTTTTTTTTAGTTTTCAGCCAACCCCAGGCCGACACGTGGCACTGGGGGGTCACTGGGGGTCTGTAGCATTGCTGGTATGAAAATTACGCTTAATCAACCAGTACTTGAGTCGGCGAAGGTGCTTATTTAATAGAGTAGCAAAATTAAAAATTAAAATTTGAAATTTTAAGTGTTGAATTAAAAATAAATTGTTTGATATGTATAAGATTAAATTTAAAATTTATTATTTTTAAATTATTTTAATTTTTATATTGTGATAGTAGTGGTGGTGATGGTAATGGTAGTGGTAGTGGTAGTGGTGGTAACAGCGGCGACGACGATGACATAGTAGTGGCGGCGGCGTTTGCTATAGTGGCATGATGGTTGTCACGACCCGCTCCCTGTATCCAAGAGTTAAGTATCGCGATTGCCAGTAATTAAAGTTACCTACGGCCAATTCATAAACAAATTAATAAACGCAAGTAGAAGAAATATTTGAGTAAGGGTACCAAAATAATCATTGGAGCTTCTATTTTTATTACAAAATATATTGACAAAAAATGTCAATATTTACATATAAAAATATATCAAAAAAGTACTGTGTGGGTGTCTACTCTGCAGCCCTGCATCTAAGATTTTTCAAAGGCTATTTTTGAATTGCATGTTTCCTGAAAATGGATAAAAACTATAAGCACATGGCAGAGTGAGAAATA